GAGCTCGATCTCGGGTCCCAGTGGCGCAGCCCGCATGGCGCCGCCGCCCCATTTTGGTACACCCCTCACACGTTTCGTGGCCCCTTAGGGAGCTCCACCGAAGGGCCCAGTGCCCGCCTGCATGGCACCGCCGCCCCATCTTGGCACACCCCTCACACGTTTCGTGGCCCCATAGGGAGCTCCATCTAATGTCTTAATGGCACCGCCCGCATGGCGCCGCCGCCCCATTTTGGCACACCGCTCACACGTTTCGTGGCCCCATAGGGAGTGGCTCAGCCCGCATTGCGCAGCCGCCCCATTTTGGCACACCCGCACACGTTTCGTGGCCCCCTATAGGGAGCTCGATCTCGGGTCCCAGTGGCGCCGCCAGCATGACGCCGCCGCCCCATTTTGGCACACCCCTCACACGTGTTGTGGCCCAATAGGGAGCTCCATCTAAGGTCCCAGTGGCACTGCCCGCATGGCGCCGCCGCCCCATTTTGGCACACCCCTCACACGTCTCGTGGCCCCATAAGGAGCTCCACCTAAGGTCCCAGTGGTGCAGTTCGCATGGCGCCGCCGCCCCATTTTGGCACACCCCTCACACGTGTTGTGGCCCCATAGGGAGCTCCACCTAAGGTCCCAGTGGCGCAGCCCGCATGGCGCCGCCGCCCCATTATGGCACCTCTCACACGTTTCGAGGCCCCACAGGGAGCTCCACCTAAGATCCCAGTGGCTCAGTTCGCATGGCGCCGCCGCCCCATGTTGGCACACCCCTCGCACGGTTTGGCCCCCACACGGTTCGTGGCCCCAATAGGGAGCGGAGCGCGGGCAAAGATGGGATTCATAATGTGGTATTCGCAATTGCATATGGTTGGGTCCTTCGCCAGGGTAATTTTTCCCCCCCCATCGTCGCTGGTCTCCGCCCGCCCTATTCCTTCTTCTCGTGCTCCCCCCCCACCTGATGGGGGCCGTGTGCCCCGCGAGGAGTGATTAATTGCAGCGCGAAGGTCGTGTTGCCTACAGGGGGCTCTCATTGAGAGACCCGAGCACGCTCCGCTTCTTCCACCGGGGCACGGTGGCGGATGACGGGAAGCGCCTCTGGCTTGGACCGCTTGTTTTCCGGTAGCGTTTTTTTTTTCTGTATTTCCCCAACCGAAGCAGGGCTCATTTCTCTTCTTCCGATTCGATTCGGTTCGATGTCGATGGTTTCCCATTCCGATTCGATTCGACTTGGAATTCCGATCTGGACTCCGATGTCTCAATGGAGGCCTACTAGCCTGCCGATTTCCGCCGATTCGACTTTTCCCGACTTGGCGGCTGCCGATTTCTGCCAATCCGATTCATGTTGATCGCCGATCCGACTTCTCCTGCTGAAAGATGCGGGTCGCATTCCGAACCTCGCGGCAGATCCTGGGAAACTGGCCGTTTCGTTCGGGGCATCTTCGGAACAACCGCTCCAGAGGGGCCTCCGAATCAACATGGCCCAAAAGGCCCTCTGGAGGACCCACAGATGGCCCCAAGAGGCCCCCAAGAGAGCCCCAGGAGGCCCCCAGACGGCTCCAGACATCCCAACGCCAAGACTGCCTGAGAGAGCCACAACAAAACCCTAAGACATGCCCAGACAGCCCCCAAGAGGACCCCGAGAGGCCCCCAAGAGCCCTCTAGGATGCCCCAGGATAACCTACTCCTCTCCCCCCTCCTGGATTCCTACTCCTCTCACCCCTTTGCAGCGCTCCGCCAAGGACGTCGCGGCTGTCGTGAAGAGAACGAGCTACCGCTAATGGCGCACGACCCCTCCCCCCCTTCCCCATCATCATCCTCATCAACATCCTCAGCATCCTCCTCAACATCCTCCTCCTCTGGGAAGATGTTTATTATCGTCCCTGGACGCTGAACTTTATCATCCCAACCCTGTGAATCTCAGGGGCATAGGGTTAGCCTCAGATGGCCCCGACAGCCCCCAGGGTAGCCTCAAAAGATCACGCGGACCCCTCTCCCTCTTCGAAGTCCTTTCCCTCGGGCTCCCTGCCGTCCTCTTTCGTCGCCCTCGTCGTCGCCATTTTCCTCCGTATCCTTCACCTCCTCCGCCTCGCTTCTCCTCGGACTCGTCCTCCATCTCTTCCTCCTTCTCCATCTCTTCCTCTTCCCTTCATCTCGTCTTCGTACTTGTCTCTTCCTCTTTCTCCATCTTCCTCCTTCTCGATCTCCTCCTCCTTCTCCATCTCTTCTTCCTTCTCCATCTCTTTCTCTTCTCCATCTCTTCCTCGGACTCGTCCTCCTCCATCTCTTCCTCGTCCCCTCGTGCTTGTCTTCCTCGCTGTGCTCCTGCTCTCCTCGCTGCCCTCCCCGTCGTCCATGCTGCGGTCTGCGTCGTCCGCCGCCTGGTTGTCGCTGTCATCCCTACGAGCCCGGTGGACAAAGTCGGCGCTTCCCGTTCTTGTCCGATCAGATGTCTGAGGGGAAGGAGGAGGCCTGGAGGAGGATATGATGATGATGCTGATGATGATGCTGATTCTGCTGATGATTAGGACAAGTATCATGATAATGATGATGCTGATGATGCTGATGTTGATGCTGCTGCTGCTGATGATGAGGATGATGATTGCGATACTGGTCATGGTGATGACGATGATGTTGATGATGCTGCTGATTGTGATGATGCTGCTGATGATGTTGCTGAATGCTGATTGTGATGTTGCTGATTGTGATGATGTTGCTGATGCTGATGATGATGCTTATTGTGATGATCATGAGGATGATGCAGATTCTGATGCTGCTGATGATTCTGTTGATCATGTTGATGACGATGACCACGATGATGATGTTTATGATGATGATGTTGCTGCTGCTGCTAATGGTGACGATGCTGATGATCGTGATGCTGATTATGTTGATGACGATGATGCTGATGCTGATGCTGCTGAGGATGATGGTGGCGACGATGATGATGCTGATGATGACGATGTCGATTCTGATGAGTATGATGATGATGCTGATGCTGAGTTTGATGATGCTGCTGATGATGCTTATTATGAAGATGATGACGATGATGATGCTGATGACGACGATGCTGATTCTGATGATGCTGATGCTGCTGATGCTGCTGAAGATGGCCAGGATGACCATGAAGATGATCATAAAGATGATGGTGATACGGTTGATGATGGTGATGGTGATGCTGCTGATGATACGGATTTTGTTTATGATGACGATGATGCTCATAATGCTGCTGCTGCTGATGATGAGGATGAGGATGATGATGATGATGATGATGATGATGCTGATGATGATGATGATGATGATGATGATGATGATGAGGACGAGAATGATGATGATGATGATGATGATGATGATGATGATGCTGATGATGATGACGAGTCTGATGATGACGATGATGATGATGACGAGGTGGTGGAGGTGGAGGACCAGATGATGATGGTGATGGTGATGATGATGGTGATGGTGATGATGATGCTGCTGCTGATGATGATGATGTTGATATGATGATGATGATGATGATGATGATGATGATGATGATGATGATGGTGATGATGACGATAGTGGTCGTGGTGGTGGTGGTGGTGAGGAGGAGGAGGAGGATGTGGAGGAGAAGGAGATGATGATCGTGATGGCGATGGTAATGGTGATGGTGATGATTCTGATGATGCTGATGATGATGATGATGATGATGATGCTGATGATGATGATGATGATGCTGATGATGACGATGATGATGATGATGATGATGATGATGATGATGATGATGATGATGATGATGATGATGATGATGATGATGATAATGATGCTGATTATAACGATGATGTTGATGATGATGGTGGTGGTGAGGAGGAGGAGGAGGAGGAGGAGGAGGAGGAGGAGGAGGAGGAAGAGGAGGTGGAGGAGGAGGGCGACGACGACGACGACGACGGCGACGGCGACGGCAACGACGACATCGACGTGCGGCCGCGGGGCCGCGGCGCCAAGGGGTAAGCTGCAGCTGTCCGAGCGGGAGTGGCTCCGCCACGCGGGTGCCTATTGGGAGTTCGTGCAGCAGCAGGTGGCGCCCGGGGAGGATCAGTTTTGTGGACGCTTCGGCGGCGCGCCTGGAGGGGAACCGAGGGGGGCACCCTCCTCAAAGCCCTCAGGCCCTGGGAGAAGCCGGCCGTGTCTTCGGAGAAGGCTTGGCCAACTCCTCAGGGAGCCTTTGAGAAGGCCCGCCCCCTCTGGTTCCCCCCCCCCTCTGGGCTCGCCGCCGAACGTAACCATGCGGTACCTATTCGTTTCGAGCTCCTCTTTTTTGGGCCTCCAGAATTGCGAAGGCCCCCTCGGCATCCCCTGGAGACTTCCTGGAGGTCTCTGGAGACCCCCCTGGTAATTAGAACTTCCCTGAGATCCGACTTTGCGAAGAGCTAGCGACGTCGCTAAACGTCGCTACCAGAGCCCTGGACCACATCTGTCTTCTGCATTTTGCAAGCTGGATATATCTGCGAAGGTCCTGGGGGCCGAAACTAGATGAAACAGCCCAGTGCAGAGAAAGCGCAACGCCTGGATCTCAGTGTCGGGGGCGACCCAGGCGACGCCCGTGGAGGACTTCTTCAACATGCTCGCCAAGGGGCTGGAGAGCTACGGCTGGCCCGAGTAGCGGCCCGACCCTGGCTTCGCCCGCCGGCCACGAGGACCCGGAGGGTTCCAAAGAGGGGCTTTGGGGAGGGGGCTTTCCCGGAAGGGTCCCCCAGGGGCTTCGCACCCCCTGTTTTGACGAGGCCACGAGGCCCCTGGGGGGCTCTCTGGAACACCCCCTCCCCCAAAGACCTCCTCTTGGAAGCCTCCGCAGGACGCCCGGCGAGCGCGAGCGCGCGCCCGACCGCATCCGCCCGCAGGAGGCCGAGGCGAGCACGGAGCACGCCGCCCGCGGGGCGGAGCAGCAGGCGCGGAGGCGCCCCGCGGGCCGGCGCGGGCGCCCCTTGCCGGAGGCGCGCGCTCTCCGAAGCCGCCCTCGCGGCGGGCGTGCCCGCGGGGGGGCCGCGCGCCGCGGCGGCCCGTGGGCTCTGCGCGCTGTCCAGAGGCCGGCGCCGGCCAGGGCCAGGAGCCACGTCGAGGAGCAGACGGCGGCACGAGCACGACGGGCACGTTTTCCACCACCGCCACCACCAGACGTCGGAGGGGGGGAAGGAGGAGGGGGAGGAGGAGGAGGAGGAGGAGGAGGAGGAGGAGGAGGAGGAGGAGGAGGAGGAGGAGGAGGAGGAGGAGGAGCCCCTCTCCCTCCAACTTATGGTAGTGGTGGTGGTGGTGGAAAAGAGGCCCATCAAGGAGCCACGTCGAGGAGCAGACAGCGGCGCAGATAGAAACTCTTTGACGGGCCGTCGAACTTTTGTGTTTGGACCGCTCTTCGAAGATTGATAGACCTCCTACCCTGACACGTCGATTAGCGAATTGGCCGTTTACGGTTCGCGAGAGGGCGTCGCGGCCCTTATTTTTGCGGGTCCAGGTCCGTCGGTTTCGGTCCTAGGCCGTTTTCACTGAAGGGTGGTTTACTACATGGAGGTTTGTCCACCGCCGAGACAGGCCGTCGACTTTTTGTGTTTGTGCCGTGCTTTGCTCCTCTGCCGCGGCGGCGGGCCGCGGGCGAGCGGGGGCGCGCTTGTGCGGCCGGGCCTAGGGAGTGCGGGGGCCCCGCGGAGGATCGGGGGTGCCCAAGAGGGGGGTGGTGACTAATTAGGGGGGGGGCTAGTCTCACAGGACGAAAAGGTACCGATACCGCTACCCTTCGCCCGTTTTTCCATTTTTGGGCCTCCTGGGAGGCCCTCGTCGCCACCGCTGCATTCGCCTCGAATTTCTGGTCAGAACGCACCCCGGGAGAGGTCTGGGGAGCAGCGGTATCGGTACTTTTTTTGGTCTCCCCATTGTCATGGCCAGGGCCTTGATCTCTCCCCAGGATTCGTGGCCCCTTGTTCCTTTTTCTGTTTCTTCTTCTTCTTTCTCTTTGTCTTCTTCTTCTTCTTCTTCTTCTTTCTCTCCTCCTTCTGTTTTGCTGTTGTTGTTTCTTTTTCTCCTTGTTTCGACACGTTCCCTGGCCCCCCCGGTGTCCGCACACATGCCTCGTGCCATGGTGTGCGGACCCCCCTCTTGGGCCCCCCCCCTCTCGCACGCACCCGAGAGGAGCCGTGGCGGCCTGTTTCTGTAAAGAGGTGAGCCGCGAGGGCGCGGCGGAGGCCGAGCATCGGCGGCGGGCACGGGGGGGTTTGGCGAGGGGGCCTGGTCCACCCTCACTGGGGCTGTGTTGGGATCGAGTGGGATGTACACATACGTGCATACATAATACATGTATGTGTGTATGTGTGCCTATCTTCATGTTTGCCTGTCTGTCTGTCTGTTTGCATGCATGTATGCATGTATGCATGTATGCATGTATGCATGCATGCATGCGCGTATGTATGTATGTATGTATGTATGTATGTATGTATGTATGTATGTATGTATGTATGTATGTATGTATGTATGTAGGTCTGTCACTATGTGTGTATATATGTATATATGTATGTTTGTACGTATGTGTATGTGTATGTATGTATGTATGTGTGTATGTCTGCATGCACGTATTGAATGCCCGTGTGCCTGCCTGCCTGCCTCTCTGTCTGTCTGTCTGTGTACATGTGCCTGTGTATTCGTGTATGGATGTACGCATGTTTGTATGCATGTACGTATTGTATGCCTGTATGCCTGTCTGCCCGTCATTTCGTCTATCTGTCTGTCTGTCTGTCTTTCTGTCTGTTTGTATGTGTGCATGCATGCATGCATGCATGTATGCACGCAAGTCCGGATGTATGCATGCATGTACAAAATCAGGTATGTGTATATATATATATATATATATTTACATACATATACACATATATATATATATATACACGTATGCGTGCATGCATGCATGTGTATATTTAGGTAGGTATACACGTACGCATGCATGCATGTTTGTCTGTATGTGTCTTAGTATGTAGGAGTTGTTGTACCATGTTATGTTTCGTTATGTTATGCTATGCGATGTTATTGAATGACGGTATTTAATATGTATGTGTGTACATGTATGTATGTATGTATGTGTGCATGCCTGTAAATTGTTGTAACGTAGCGTGGTGTAATGCATGTGTGTGTATGTATGTATATATGTATGCATGCATGCGTGCATGCATGTATTTGTGTGTGTGTATGTATGTATGTATGTATGTATGTATGTATGTATGTATGTATGTATGTATGTATGTATGTATTCATATGTGCGTATGTCTGTCTGTCTGTCTGTCTGTCTGTCTGTCTGTCTGTCTGTCTGTCTGTCTGTCTGTATGTCTGTATGTCTGTTCGCTTGTTATGCATGTATATACGTTTTGTTACGGTACGTGATGCTAAGTTTTGTTTTGCTGTGCCATGTTATGTATGTTTGTATGCATGGTTGCATATGTGTGTGTATATATATATATATATATATGTATGCATATGTGTGTATATGTGTGTATGCATACACACATATATATATATATGTATATATATATATATATATATATATATCGGAGTAGTCCGTGGGGCGGTCCCGTGCCGGTGCCATCATCCCCCATGGGCGCCCCCCGGGGCCTTTGGGGGGGTCACAGACCCCCCAGGACTGCCCCGGGCCGCTTCCGCATTGCCCAGGACAGGCCACGCGGGCCGTACAGTAGTCCAGAACGCCTCAAGAGGAGATGGCTTGAAGATGGCCGTAGAGGGCCCCAAGAGAGCCTTCAAGAGTCGGCTAGACGTAAGAGTGACCCTTCGCTGGAGTGACCTTTGGTGCGGGCACAGATGGGCCCCCAGGTGGCTGAAAACGAAGCAGGAGCAGCGGCTTGCGCGCCCAGGTTTGGTCCCCCCGCGGCCCCCAAAAAGCCGCGCATCAAAGGTCACTCTTACCCAGGTTGCGTGTAGCCGAAAGAAGCAAACATCGGCCCATTTCCATAGTAAAACGTACATTTTCATCATACTCGCTTGCTTCGTCTTCAGAGTGCCCCCGACGCCCCCGCGGAGCCCCAACACAGCCCAAGAGAGATCCAAGAGGGCCCCAGACGGCCCGAAAAGATCTTCCCGTGGGGCCCACGGAACCCCCCAAGACGGCCCAAGAGGCCCCGAAGCCAGCCCAGGAGGCCCCCAAGACGGCCTCAGGGAGGCCCAAGATGGCCTCGTTCGAAATCATGTTCACGGAAGCCTCTCCGGGAACATGATTTCCGGGTTCCCAGGACGCCCAAGAGGCCCACAAGACAGCCTCAGCGAGGCCCAAGAGGACCCGAGATGGCTTCTGAAGATGGCCGAAGAGGGCCCCAAGAGGGCCTTCAAGAGGCAAACATCAGGCCGTTTCCTTAGTAAAACGTGCATTTTCAGCATACTCCCTTGCTTCGTCTTCGCAGTGCCCCAGACGCCCCCGAGGAGCCCAAACACATCCCAAGAGAGATCCAAGAGGGCCCCAGACGGCCCGAAAGGGTCGTCCTGTGGGGCTCACGGAGCCCCCTAAGACGGCCGAAGAGGCCCCGAAGCCAGCCCAGGAGGCCCCCAAGACGGCCTCCAGGAGGCCCAAGAGGGCCTCGTTCGACATCATGTTCCCGGAAGCCTCTCAGGGAACATGATTTCTGGGTTCCCAGGACGCCCAAAGACATCCCCCAGAGGCCCCGGACACGCCGAAGTGGCCTCAGGACGGCCGCCGACGCCGCCAACACGCCCCAAGAGCGCCTCCAGAGGCCACTCCAAAGTGCCCCAGAAGCCGACAATCATACATTTTCCTATGGTTTTTGAAGCATTCTTGCGCTCTCCCATGTTCCGCCTCCCCACGGTCCCAGACCGCGTCAGAGGCCTTTCAGATCGCTCCAAGACGGCCGAAGAGGCTCCCAAGAAAGCCCAGAGACGGCCCTGGAGGCTCCCCAGATAGTCAAGAGGGTCTCGAGAGCGCCCCAAGAGAGCCCCAAGAGCGACCCAAGAGGGCCCGAAGAGCGCGACATTTCGAGGTCTCCGGCCTGAGAGGCTCCTAGGACGCCCCCGGAGGCCATCAAGAGGCTCCCAAGATGCCCCCAAGGGACCCCCAGGGAAGCTCCCTGCGGGCCCCCAAGACACTTCGGTAAAGCGTATTTCCCAGATAGCTTTCTGGGAGCATGATTCCTTGGGCTTCCGCCCTCTGGTCGACCCAAAAGGGGGTCCAGCTGCAAAGGGGGTGGTGCAATAGATTTGGGGCAATTGTGTTGCAAATGTATTGCGCCAGAGAATTGTATTGCATTGTATTGCGACGAATGTATTGCACGCGAAAATCCAGCAATACATTAGCGGCCCGGAATGTATTGCATGCCCCCGATGTGTTGCAGCCCCACATATATTGCACCAAATCTATTGCATCACCCCCTTGTCGCTGGACCCCCTTTTGGGTCAACCCGACGCCCACCGCCCCAACAATGTTTCCAATAGGCTTGCCGACAAGGCCAAAAGGCGCCCCTCGGTAAGCCCCCAGAGGCCTCCCTCTTAGAAAGCCGAATAAATCATGCTCCCGGAAAGCTTCCCGGGAACATGATTCTCTATCTCGGAGTAGGCCTGGGGGGGAGGGGGCGGGCCGCTGCCTATTCCCCCCATCGGTGTCCACCAGGGGTTGCGGGGGGGGGTCCAGAGCTCCCGAGGCGGCCCGAGCCCGCCCCGAAGCAGGCCACGACAGGCTAAGGGGGTCGGCCCAAAACGGTCCCACGAGGCCCCGAAGACGCCCAAGATGCCCTCAAGACAGCCGACGAGGACTCCAACACGCTCCAGGACGGACTTAAGAGGCTCCCCAAAAGGGCCCTGGAAGGCAAGATTCACTCGTTTTCCGAGTGTTTTGGATTTTGGCGTTCTTGCTTTTCCCTCTTTCCAGCGCTCCCTCACTGCCTTGAAGGCTTTTCAGATCGCTCCAAGAAGGCCCACGGGGCCCCGACGAGGGCCCCAAGACGGCCCAGTATGCTCCCCAGACAACTCAAGTGTGCTCCAAGAG